AAATGAAAACCAAATACCAGTATTTAGCATTATCTAAAGTGAAGAATGCCTCTTGTAAACATGTATCACATCTATAAAATCTATCTTTAAGCATCACTTGATACGTATCTTCACCTATTTCTCTTATGTTTTTAAACTTATTTGACATACATGCAACGCGTGCCTTCTGTGCATTCATTATTTTAGTCTTTGCGTAATTTTGTGTATTCATTGCATCGTAACCATATGATCCATTAAGTGAAATCTTGCAAAATAAACTTTTTCCTTTATTTCCTTCTAATTCAGCCTTTTGTCTTTCGTTCATAAATTCGTTCGCAAATTCATTAAAACAAGTATTTTTCGTAAATGTTAAAATTGATTGAATGTCATCAATGATAAAATGAAATCTGTCTATTAGATACCAAAGATAATAAGAAGAAAATGGTTGATATTGTGTGTTGATGCTAACTGAGTTAATTTTCTCTGTTTCTGGTCAACTGGTAGATTGTTTGATTTCATGTAATTATACATAAAACTGCCAATTGTTTTTTCATCTGTGATAATATCTAAGTTTCTTATTATCGGTAAAAAGTTTATGTAATCATTAATGTATTTTTCATCAATGTGACCCTTTACTTCAGCCACGAATAAAGTATTTTTCTTTCTAATTATTCCCAATGCTTTTGCTTTCTTTGTTGCTGTATCACAAATGATAACACCATTCAATCTTCCCGGCATATACATTTTATGGTTAGTATATTGAATGAAATCATGAGGATTAGATGAAAATGATGAAGGATATAATGAATTAAAGTCAACTCCAACAAAATGAGTCATAATGTTGGTGGTGTCCTCATTTGATACAGTTTTAGTTTCTGGACTATATGAAAGTTTATTAATGTGCGTGATTCCTTTAAGATTAACACAATGTTGAACATTTGATAGACCACCAGTAATTCCATTACGGAGAATGTGATAAGCTTCAACTGAATCTAAAGTCATTGGTAAATTATTTTTTAATGCATAATTTCTTAAATTGATTCTTAAACGTTGAACATCCTCATCTTTATTTGATTTTACGACATTGCAATAACAACACATTAACTGACAATTTTCTTTGGTATGTGGTTTTTCATTATCGATTCTATCTAATGTTGGTTTATTTGCATATGTAAACGCTTTACCACACATTTTGCATTTAGATGAAAGGATTAAATCGTGATAGTATTGAAAATCATCCATTGAAACATTATTTTTAGTATCTCTTTCTGCTTTTTCATCTTGTTTCTTATATGATTCAATTTTATATTTCCAATACTTTTCGTTAATTCAAAACTTGATTCCACATTTTCTTCTTCTGGATATTTTTCATTAGGATTAAAGTCTTTATATGCTAAAGCGTAACGAATCATTGATGCATTCGATGATAAAGAAAGATTATGAAGCATGTCAATTTTATAAACAAATGTTTCTTCAATAATTTTATCAATTGGGTCAATCATAATTTCAACATCTTTATTGCAATAATGAATAAAATATTCTAATCTATTCTTAAAATTTTTAGCATCATTGAGATATATTTGATAATCACTATCTGATATAGTTTCTTGAGTTAATGCTGAATAAAATGAATCTTTCGTGAATGGTTCCTCTTTATATAATTCTTCTTCGTAATTTTCCCACGTGATGAATTGATAAGGGAAAAAGGATTTAACACGTGATTTATTGTTTCCGAAATCTCGAGTGAATTGGTCTAATGTCCCACCCGCTATATAATTTCTGATGTCAATAAATCTCAATTCATATGGAACGTTTGTTTTCTTTACAATGATTTGCTTAAATTGAGAAGATGAACCCAGCATTGATTTTATTTTCCATTTTGCAGTGTTTAAATCACGAAGAATTAAATTTAAATCAAACTTTCCCGAATTAAAACCTATGATATTCACTTTATTGAATTCCTCATCTAGAAGTTCTTTAAATGCTTCCTTTTGTTTCTCATTTAATGTTTGCGGCTTCATTAATTCTTCATATTGTTCAATATTTGATTTAGCAACTAATGAACAGGTTGAAAATAAAAACTCAATCCAATCAGAAATAAAAGAATCACTTGAAGTTAAGCAAAAATTCCTCGTATATGTTTTATCACGGTCTACGACCTCGCCGCTTTGCGGCTTTAATTTAACCGTTGATGATACCATGAATGGTTTTAAGTAAGCGTTCAAAGTTGCACATTCAGAAAGTTGAAGTTCTTCTTTTGTCTCTAATGTTTCGAAGTCAAAAGTAATATAATATCTTGTTGGTTTATAATATTCCTGCAAATTATGTGCTAATAGCCATTGATATATCTTCTGTTTCGTGATATGTGGTGCATATGGTTGTTGTGTGTTTTGCAATTGAACGTCTTGAATTAATCTTCCATTATTTTCTTTACATTTCTCACAATGTTTTAAAAATCTTCTTTGGTTTTTCCTTTCTGGATCATCACGGATAGAATATACTTCTTCTTTGCAAAAGGGGCAAACTCTATAGCCGGTGAGTGCTTCAACGTCTGTTATTCTGTCAGCGTGAAGTTTTCCACATGGACTCTGTGTTAATAAAATATTTACTGTTTCAAATTCTGGATCTATCATTATTGATTCCACTAATGGAAAGTCTACCTTGTTAATGTCTACGTCTTCTGGTTGAGGGTCACAATAATAAAAATCAATATTAACGTTTAACATTCTTGCTAACCTCTCACTTTCTGATGAAATGTCAAACCCTTCATATGCATCTATTGCTTCGTTTAAATAACTTCTACGAGTTTTAGGATTAACACCATCAGGAATGTTATAGAAGCGTTTAAATAACCTTCTACCTTCTGCTCTAATTTGATTATCATTCATTTTAGCTGTTCCATTTTTGTTCATTTATGTAAGAATAAAAATTAAAAAATAAATAAAAATAAAGTTTATTTTTTTTAAAGTCCATAAAATGAATTAAGAACACATAAATTTTTATCATCTGCGACGTGACGAATACATTTTAATTTACTCAAGAATGCGTACCCTGATACATTAAATCTAATTCCTGTCTTATTTAATTTCACAACTTTGAAAAGGAATGTATGAATAGCTATAAAATGATGAGATGATGTTTTATGGGTTGCTTCCATTTTTTCTGAAATAAATGAATAAATATAATGCTTATAAGTTTTCATATCTTTTATATTCTTAATAACGAATGGTATAGACCTTTCCACTTCGTCTTCCTTCGGTGCTGTTCTTTCATATGAAACATTATTGGTATCTTCAATAATGAAACCACAATCACACAAAATTTTATAGGTTCCAATTGTTTCTTTTGATATTTTATCTAACAAATCAAAACTTTATCAACACCTGTGCATTTATTTAAATAATAATTTGTGTAAATATCATGATCTTCTTTCTTAATCGTATTTGTTGCATATGTCACGTTTTTAAGAGCTTTTTTGAATTTCTCAGAATCAAGAGGAGGTGAAAGTAATATACAGGGGTATTCTTCATTATCAATAAATTGTAACTTATGTTTACGAATAAATTTAGTACCTTCTTCTGAAAGTGTTTCGTTTATTTCACCATCTAATAAATTTTGTGTTGATTCTGAGACATAATTTTTATATCTTTCTTCATGAGATTTCTGTACTTCTGATTCTGAAGCTGGGATATTCATTAAACCCTCTACTTCATTTTCATTATATTTTTCAACTTCTCTTAATTCCTTAATTTTTTCATCTATTTCATCTCTTATTTTTTCCAGTCTTTCAATTTCATCATATTCATCATCTTTAATCCGTTCTTCATAATATTCAGGGAAAACATCAGGTTCTTTAGGTTTTTCTTCTTCAGATGTAGGATATAAGAAATTTATAACATCATCTTTATTCATTTTTCCATCATAATCTAAATCATTTAATAACTCGGCAAATTTTTGACAATTTCTTAAATAATATTTACTAACTTCATAACCTGCCTCCTCTAATATATCCTTTATTTCCTCGTTTGTGAATTCTAATTTTTTAACGTTGTTAGTTGTGACACTCATTTATCATTAAATAAAAAAATAAATTATTCAAAAAATGTAAGACATGAATTTTTAAAGTTTATTTTTTTTATTTTTTTTATTTTTTTTTATTTCATTATGTATGGGTTTAGTGTAAATGTCTTACAATTTTGAAAATTTTTTAAATCTTGATTTATTCAAAAACGTAAGAATAAAAACCGTAAGAATCATACATTTTTTACTTCATATGTTAAAAAAAATGATACAAAATCGTTCAATATTGTATGAATTCTTACGTTTACAAAAAAAGTCACAAAACCCTTTCACATATACTACTATCACTTATCATAAAAAAATTGAATCAATACATCGCAAAACAATAGGGCATATAATGTAGCATTTGATTTCGCAGAGACGTCATAAATATTGATACAGAAGATGAAATCCAAATTCAAGCTTTTCAAGAGAATCTCTATTTCAGGATTTAAATTCACTTGGTGTCAAATAATTTCTTCACAAGACAATTTAAGGTATTTTGGCTGCAGTTCCATTCTTTGATGGATTGACTCTAATTAAACCTAAAATAAATGATTGGATATCACTTTCTTCAGCATGATTTATCCTATCGGATACGTCCTCTTCTTCATATCATAATTTTTCCAAATTTTAGGCGAGCCTTGTCATCAATGTCTAATTCTTAACGCATTAATTCAGTAGCTCAATGGCATATTAAAAATCATTCAAAACAGTAATTTCTTTGTTTGAACATTGATTGGACAATTTCAAAAACTAAGATTATCTAATTTGGACTAATGGTTTGTAATAAATAAGTTCATTACATCTGTTTATATCAAAATCACATCATAATATACCGAGTTTCAAATTTTTATTGGAATTTTGATCGGTATACTCATAGTGAAAAACGAAAAGAATTTAAACGCTTAACTTTATGCTTTATTGATATAATACTTGACAAACACTCTATAGTAAATTTATTAATTTTGATCATAAGAAAACTCTGGACTTAATATCCATTGATCTGTAAACGATCCGACAATGCATTGCTGTTTGGAAGAAAACATCATATCGAAATCTGCATCATCATCCATTTCTGGTAAGCAATTGGCCATTGGCAAAGTTGGTGAGCAAACAGACTTTGCTTGTTGAATGAATGCGGCTGTAGGATCTGGTGTTTGCTCTTTAACGAATCTTCGAAGATTAATAGGGAAGAAAGATGACATTGGTCTCTTCAATATTGAAGTTTTTGAAGAATTTGGCTGAATTAAACATTCTTCAATACGGCATGAGTAACATAAGTCACGACCAAGGATCAATCTAAAGCCGATTTTACATTTTTGACAAACAATCTCGAACATATTCGAATGTGGCTGAACAATACTAACGTTTGACAGCCTTTTGATTATAATACCATTTGGCTCCGAAACCACGATTGTTTGGAAGTTCGATCTGATTTGGTTCATAACTTGAGGATTGTTTTCTATAACATCATCCTCACTAATATAATGACCATGAAATACGATCTCTCCGCAGTTGCAATAATCTATTTCGGTATCGCCTGCGATGGTCTCATCCATATTTGATCTTACAATGATTTTTGGCTGACATATCCAGCCTTTCAATTTCCGCACTTTTTCACTTTTTGGTTTGCCTTCTCTCTTCAATTTTGATTTTGTGGATAAACTAGGAAATGCAATATCTTATTCAATAGACGTCGGATTATCGCATTTTGGGGATTCGGTTTTTCTGGGCATAAAATTATCAAAACTGAAAATAGTATCATTGGATATGGGAATTAAAATATATAAAAATCATCTTTTGAATACTGCTTTCAAAATCATTTGCTATTCGAGATAATTGTACACTATTATATATTTAAATTTAACCCGACAAAAAAAATTCAAACGACCTTTCAAATGATAAGAAGATTTTTTTTGGAATTGAAAAATATTGCCACTAAGAACTCTTCATTGTCAAAAAAAGTGAATGAATAGCACATTTTCAAGCTGCTCTTAACCATTATCCTTTATTATTTAAACAGATTTTAAATTCGGAAAGTTATTGCTTGACTTGGTCTAAGATTATTACTAATCCGATTGACTATGGGCACATATTGAATCGAAATGCTTTGTGCCAATTTTAATCCAGTAAAACCAAATCAATGATTTCCAAAATATTGAAATTAATAAGTAAGACTTTCAGATTTAGAACTGTAACAACTTCTTAATAAAATTTGTATTACGAATAATACATATTTCATTTTCAGATCTGTGAATGAATACTCTACCGCATTAGGAAATCTTCTATTCACAAAATCTCTCTTTAAACAACTAAATCCAAATTCATTTAAACAAGAACTCAAATTAAATTGAATTTCATTTATCATAAATACTATTTTTCCTCCTCGTAACCAAACGACTGTCATTGAATAACTCTTAATAAAATAAAATTTTAAAATAAAATAAAAAAATTTTTACTTTCTAAGTGATTTTCTTGTACCAGAGAAAACGTAATTAGTTCCATTGAAAGCCTCTCCGATCTTAATATTCTTGGATTCTTTTCCTTTGAAGTTTTCATTAGATCCGAAGAAAACAGCGGCCTTCAACAAACATTCAACATGAGGAATCTGAGAGATATCGATTGCTGCTCTGAGATGTGGATAGATGGTGTTGAAGTACTGGTAGTGTTCAGCATATTTTCTTGTTTCTGAGCATACAGACTGGCAGATCTCCTTTGTATAATCAGAAATGAGAGTCTTCAATGATTCATCGATGTTTTCGATATCGAATTCCTTAGTTATTTGATTCTTAACAAATGTATGGTGAGAAATAACTAAATCAACAAAAACGTTGAACTTATGGTATTCAAGCAATTGATCAACTTGTTCAACGTCGATGATTGGTTTAATTGTTGTATCCCAAATCCTTTGGTAATCTTTCTTTGGAATATCATTTGAAGGATGCAAAGTATACAACAAAACTGAGTAATCAAGTTCTTCAGGAACTTCGAAATTAAGATATTCAACAAGTCCATCAACTCCATCTTCAAGTGCATATCTGCCGCTTGAGATGATCTTCTTTGCAGACCAATAAATCAGTTCATTTGTTATATCCGCGAAATCATGGTTATTGTAGGAAATGATGTTGTTCAATTCTCTCAAGAAACTAGTACGAATGAAAATTACTGAATTTTCACCAGAATTCTTTAACACGTATTGTGTGTTCACAATGATGTTTGTGAATCTTCTGTAGAAAGTGAAAATGATGTTGAACAATGACTTCGGGCACTGTCTCCATGAATTCTTCGATTTAAGGGCTTTTCCTGCAAGAAGTTCGAGTTGGTTTTCAGTAGAAGAATCATCAACATCGATCATTTCATCTTCATTTAATAATTTCTGGTATAATGCTGTTGATTGCTTGAAAATCTGTTTACTGAAGAAAGAAACTTTCTTCATGGATTGACTCTGTCTCATGAAAGCATCGATTGTGACATCAACGAGAGAAGTTCCATATAATTTGTTTGGAAGGAAGTCCAAACCTAAAACAGGCCAAGTCTTCGATTGAAGCAAATGGATTTTGTCGTGATTTTCAAGGACATTCAAGCAAATGAAAGTGTGCAAAATGATGTTTTTAGACTCGTGTTCCTTCCTGAACTCATTGATCTTGAACTTGAGCTGTGGCAATCTGTGTGCAACTTCATTTGGCTTGTTTGCTGTGAAGACCATGACCTTTGGAATTTCTTCCTTTTCACTGATTTTGCTGACGAAATCGTTGAAGACTTTGTCGAAGTCAAATGTCTGTTCAATTGGAAATTCGTAGATGTCGTAATTGTCCTTCAACGAATCTTTGTCGAATGGATGGATTCCAGGAACGACAACAACAGAAGAGATGCCTTTGAGTCCACTCTTTCTTTGGCTTCCGAAAATGAAGTTGAATGGATTTTCTTCATCATCCAAATTCTCGTAGTTCTTAATCAGTGACATTACACTTGTATGCAAATATGAGTACTTCTTGAATAATCTCTTTGTGTTGTACTCCTTCTTCATATCGTCGTCTTCATCTGTCTCGGAATATGGTGGAAGACCTTTTTGTGGTTCTTCTTCAGCATTCAACATTGTTCTGTAGAAATAAATAGAGGCTGGCAAATAAGCCAAAAGATAAGTGTTTTCTGAAACAACTCTTGTAAGCTCCTTTTCACCAATTAATGCACAAACAGATTCCATGTACTGCTTGGACAAATAACTGCTTGTAATAGATTCATTAACAAATGGAGTGGTTTTTGCAAAGTTCTCAATTTTTGGCAGAATCTTTGCAAAGCTTTCTGTGTTATAATTCAAGTAGTGTTTTTCGAATCTTGAAACGAATGGTGCTGGCAACTGGTCGAACTCTGTTTTAGTGAGAACAATTACGCATCTGAATTCAGGCTTGACTTCTGCTGAATATGAGCCACCGTTGCAAGAAATGAATCCGATGTGTTTTGTTTGTTTGTTTTCTACAATTTCTTGGTACTTTTGGTTGAAGATATCGTACAAGTTATTGAAGCAAGGATGTATTCCGTGAATGATAACTAAGTTTCCTCTGCTCATTGCCCTGAGGAATCTCTCGCAGTCTTCGGCGACCCATATTGATTCGGAAATTCCTGATTGTCTGTTTCCAAACAAAACAACTGAATCTTTCTTGTCTCCCAATTCTTCTGTGATGATATCCAATGCAGCGTCATCTTCTGTGATGAACATCAAGTGTCTGTTTGTGATCAAGTTGAAATTGACATTGGCATTGATGGAATCGAAAATTAACTTCTTGTAATCTTCGCAAACAATTGGTTTATTATCGGAATTGTTGAAGTTGAATGCCTGGTAAATCCTTGTTGGGAATGTCTGTTTGAGAGTTTCGAATTCGATCTTTGTGCAGAACAAGTTCTTGAAAATGGCTCTTTGTACTTCTTCCTCTTTTTGTAATGAAATTTGTGCAAGGTTCTGTGCGAAAGCGTATAAATCTCTGATGGAATAAATCTCTCCTGCTGATGATGTATTCTTGGCTTTGGCGATTGCTTTGAGAATATTTTCTTCACTCTGTGTGATTTCTTGTTTGAAATTGTCTTTCTTGACATCATTGAAGATATTCTTGAGTGTGTTCGCCATTTCAGCTTGTAACAAGTTGTCTCTGAGGATGAGCAAACCTCTGTTCAATTTGGCGCTATCCATCTTGTAGTTTGACAAACCAACAATTGAAATCTGAAGTGTCTTATCTTTGGCGGTAACACCTTCATCGATGACCTGATGCAACAACTTCAGACAGCTTTCGTCACTTAGATCTGCATGGCCCATTTCTTCAAGCATCATGATAGGAATTGGCAATTCTTTGCTGTTCTTTGTGTTCTTGATGTTTTGGATGATTCTGTTGTCTTCGTTTGCGAGTAATTGGAATGCAAACGAGAGGTCTTTCGTTGTAGACTCTTTAGAACACATGAACAACTGTTTGAGGATGTTGAAATTGTGTCCATTTGGCAATTTGATGTATCCATTTCTGAGACCATTAATTGCCATGTTGACGGAAAGAGACTTAGAAAGACCTGGAGCACCAATGATCCAAAGAGGAATTCTGTTGATCAACGCGACATATGTTGCCCAGCAGTTTTCTTTGAGTGGCTTGTTCTTTGAGATACCTTTTTCTGTGCAGAAAATGTCAGCAGCAGTAGAGATTTCTTGTTCGATCCATTTCTTCCATTCATCAGCTGTTGGTGAAGGGAATTGTTTGCTGCCAATCGATCTCCAGACTTCGATGATCTTATTGATGTAGTCCTCACGCATTTTTTCGTTGAGTTTGAACCAGTAAACAACGGAAAGAGCGAGAACAAGGGAATATCTGAATTTGTTATCGAAATCCTTTGGAGCATCAGCAGAAAGAATTCCTGACTTGTGGAACCATCTGATGATTGTTGAGCATCTCTCTGGATCTCTCAAAGAAATGAATGACTCATCGCCATAGAAATCAGGGTTAACAACCAATCTCGCTGATGAGAAGTTGAGGATCTTAACTATTTTGAGCATTTCCTGTGCTTTGGCGTTTGTTGAGTAATCTTCTGCGAAATCTTCTGACTGTGAGAAATGCATGTCCTGTCTCTCGAGATCGATTGCGCGTGGTTTGTCGAGTAATCTTCTGTCCATGATCTGTTGCATGAACAACTCGAATTCACTGGAACACTCCAAAATCTTGTAGCATTCTGTATCATTCTTGTCAAGTCTTTCTGGATCGAATGGCAAAATGAAAGGAATGTATGATTCTGGCATCTTCTGGACCTTGTAGATGAAGTCCTTGAGTTGATCGTTTGTTTCTTGTATTGTGAGACCAATCTTGTTGATTCTATCTGCGATGTTTTGAGGAATCTTCTTCAATGGGTTGACAGCAGCAATGAATCTGACGTAGTTTGGAAGTCTTTCGTCCAAGAAATATCTGTCGACAATGAGTTCTTTGATGAACCATTGTATTGCTGCAGCATTGACTTCATCGAAGAAGAACAACAACTGTGGAGAATTAGCTTCGACATCGTCATTGAACTGGTCAAGTTTCCAATGCAAGTGATTTATCACATTTGCAATTTGTGTGTTGTCTGTGATGAAATAACTCGATTTCTTGTCACTGGCGAAAACTTCATCTTCAATGAACTTTTGTACAAGTTCATGCATCTTTTCGATGGCGAAATTAGTGATTTCTTCATTTGTAAATTCATCTTTTTCTTTGATATTCTTCTGTTTGACGAACCATTGCATGAAATCAGTTCTTAATTTATCTGATTTCGCTTTTTGTTTGATCAAATTGAAGATCATTGTTCCTCTGATTTTTCCTCTTTCTTTGTTGCATTTTTCTATCTTTGGCTTGATGAAATCAATCAAATCTCCTCTTGTTGTTCCAGCGTGGATAACTGTTTTCTCAAGTTTAACATGTCTTGCGATGATTTGCTTCAAAATGTTGATGATATATGTTTTTCCGACACCTGTTTCACCCATCAAAATGATTGGTAGATTACTCATGCATCTAGAAATGATGATTGAGCATCTGTTGATACTTTGAGGAGTGATAGCAATTGATTTGATGTTGGAATGATCATAGTTCTGTGCAATTTCAGCACTAAAGTTTTCATATAATTTCTCAACATTTAATTTGTTCTTCTTGTCAAATATCATATCTTTCAAATCCATTTCCTTCAAGTTCTTGAGGAAATCATTGATGTTTTCGTCCTTTGAGTAATTTGTGTTGAGATCTCTATCATTTGTCATGATTTTAGTGATGAAATCCTTTCCCAAAAACTGATCTAAAGCATCAGAATTTTTGATGTCATCCCAAATCTTGATAAACAATAATTTGTTGTAAGGAATTTCATCATTGATCTGCAAGCCGAAAACAGAAGCAAATGATTGGAATAATCCATGAGAATTGTTTCTCAAATTCTTGAACTTGTCGTAATCATAGAAAGTACTTAAGAAATCACTCATTTTGTCGCTGACTTGTATTCCATATTCATTTAAGATATCGAATACTTTTTTATCTTTGTTTTGAGCAATTAAGAAATAACTTTGTTGCTCAATTGGTGCAGCAAAATTTGTTGTGACAATGATGGAAGGAATTGTCTTTTGGAACTCTTTGATTTGTTCAAGTCTTCTTGTATCATCTACTTTGTCGTCATCTGTTGCTTCGTAACTCTTTCCGCAGTTGAACATAGCAGAATTAACAATGTTTTCGCCAATCATGATTGTTAACTGCTGATTGTATTCTCTCTGCTTCTTGTATGATGATTTGGAGATAAATGGACCTCTGTTAGAATTGATGATCTTGGAAACATTGTTGATGATGGAAATAATCTGTTCTTTGCCTTTATAAAGAACAGATTTGAAGTAACTGTAAATAATTTTCGGATTTTCTTCGAAAAATCTGACATGGCTGTCAAAAGACTCCTTGAAGTCGTTGTACTCGTATGACGATGGTATTTTATCAAGGATATTGTAGTTTTCTTTTGACTTGGTCACTTCACTTATTGTATTCTTACTTAGATTGATGTATTGCAGCTTTTCGCCATCCTTTGCCTTGGCGAATGTTGACATGTATACGATGGCCGCTGCATTTGGAAGGTATCTCCTTGATTTGATCAATAATCTGATCTTACTCAGCTTGTTGACTGTTTCAAGGACGTATTCGTCGAGAGAGAAGATGTCTAAAGGCTGTCCAACATCTACTTTTTCCATAAACTGGGCGAGTGGGAAGAATATCGTCTTCATCTCATCGAAATCAACGTGTGTCTTTGTGCCAATCTCGAAATAAACCTCAGGAACACTTGGAAGGTCGTACAATGTGAAACAACGTGATGTATTGTCTGTCAGAACATTGAAATACACCAACTGAAGGAGATAGAAGGTAAACTGGAGGTTGATGTTGCCATCAACATTGAAGTGAATGTATGTCTTCTTGTCCTTGTCAAATTTGACTGAATTCAGGAAATCAATCAACATTTGCAAGGTTGTTCCATTGTCTACGATGTATCTGTGGTAGTAGTAGTCGCGTCCTTTGTTTTCTTCGTAGATTCGCTTCAAAATCATCTGTGTTTTACCTGTTTCTGGTTGTTTGGAGTAAACAACGTAGGATTTGAACGAATCAGAAAAGAACTTCGTGTAGAAATTAACAACAGCGGCTTTTTCGAACTTGAAATTGCTCAAATTGTTGACATTTCCGAGAAGATTGCTAGCAGGAGTGGTTTCTTTGAAGTTGATGAGGTAGATTCGTCTGTTTGGTATTGGATTCTTCTCGTATTCCTTGAATCTAGAGTCGAAGTGCTTGAAAACTGAGAATTTCAGGTAATGAATGTTCATAATGACGAATCTGACTTGTTCCGGAGATGTAATGGACTTGATATTATTAAACAGGGCATCGATGTTGAAATCAGCCGTATTCTTGTCGCAAATGAAGAATTGGATTGGAAGTGGATAATCTCCGACGCCATTGAAGAGGAATTTAGGAATAATGGATAAAATGTCGATTGGATTATTGAGGAAATTACTTGTAAGTAAAGAAACGTGGACATTTTCAGATAAAGCAGCTGAAGTGTTAATTTCGCTAAATTTGATGCCTGAATTAATGTTTTTGGCACGGACGACTTCTTTAGCAGAAAAGTCGATCTTGAAATTAGGATCATCAATAGTTGCTTTGTTTAAGTTTGAAAGTAAGTATTTCTTCTTGTCCTTACTTTGGCCAACCATGTAGCGCATCTGAGGAGTGAAGGAAGAGAAAGGACCTCCGATTTCCGTAGAATTCTTTAATTTTTGTAATTCTTGCTTAAGAAGATTGTTGTAATCACTTAAATCTGGTTCCAAGCCTTCATAATCATCTTCTGTCGGAGTAGACTTAAAATCAGAGAGTTCTTTCAAATAAGAAATGTTCTCTTCTAAAAGCTTGTATGTTTCAAGGAACGTATTCTCATCTGCTGTCTTATCTCCTGCTTTGAGAATGAGGGATGTTCTGTAGTTGATTGTGGCTGACGGATCTAGAACTAATTCGCCAGTCTTTGAGTCGACAAATGAGACTCCGGAGAGACTGATATGCCACTTAATCTTATTATCTTGAATGTCTTGTGTATAAGAATGCATTAGTAAGCTATTAAAACCAAATAAATTATAAAAAAATGAATAGTTAAATTTTCCAACAATGATCAAAAACACAATAAAAAATCCAGACAATTTAACAATTTCACTTTCATAAGCATTTCCGTTTTCCCTGATGCTTAGATATGAAAAATTAAATTAAAATTCCACTTACTTCAAATGTGAAATGACTTTTTCCATAATGTTCGAATGGATTCAAACGATCATACTCACTAACTACTTTCGAAAAGGTCAAAATTCGTTAACTTTTATATTAAAAAAGCCATCAACCATATTGATGGAAATATTTCTAACTTCCATGCATAAGCAGTCATTTACAAATCGAATATCCCTTCTAGCTTTAAGTTATTTTTCCAAAGCTGAACTTCTAATAATTCACAATATCTAATGGAAAATTCTTTTTTTCAAATTGACAGATACTAGCATTCAGCCTGCAATTTGACTTAATGTTTTACATCAAAATACATGCGATAAAATCCAATAAAACTACAAATTCTGAAAAATATTAAATAATGGCAAAGAAGAAAAAGAACTCCAAAGAATAAAAAATTTCCTTTCTTCCTTAGAACTTCTTTTCTTCAATAATGACAAAGAAGAAAAGAACTGCAAAGAATCATATGTTTTTTAATTAGAAGCATAAAATAAAAAAATTTTTATTCTGCGTTAAGTTGATCGACAACTTTCTTTTGTTGTCTGAGATAAAGTCTTGCTTTGATGATATCTGATTCGAGCTTCAACAACTTCATCAACATCTCCTTCGGAGGCTGGTGTGTAGGCTTAGCGTTTGCTCTTCTCTCAGCCGCCAATCTTCTTCTCTCTTCTGCAGCAGCCCTTCTCTTTGCTGCCTCTTCTTCTCTGCGCTTGAGTGCTTCGATGCGTTCGAGTCTTGCCTTCTTTCCTGCTTCCGCTGCTTGGATGAGTTTCTTGGAGATGTTTACAACACCGTTAAGTGCTTCATTGTGTGCGAGCAATTCACCTCTCTGTGCTCTGTACATTCCCTTGAATGCTTCGACTGTTCGGATGATCTTTGTTGCGTTTTCAATGACTTGATCTTCTGATTCATTGGAATTAGCGATGGCTAAAACAGCACTGATTACAGCATTCAACAAAGCAGCAGCATCTTCTGAAACAGTCTTGAGTTTCTCCTGAGGAACGGTCATATCCTGTTGTCTATCTCTCAAGTACATGATGATCTTTGCGAGTGTAGAAGACAATGTTCCGGTGACTTCCGCCAAAGTAAGTCCGTATTCGCGGCTGACTGATGGTGCAAGTTTGTTTGTCTCTTCTGTCTTCTCTTGTACTGATGAAGAGATTGCGAAGAATGGCTTCGCGAGGTCTCCAATTGCGCGACGAACGAGATCTTCTTCGATACTCTTCGTCTTCGCAACTTGGATACTGTGTTCGACAACTTTGTTGACATCCGTGATTATTCTCGTGCTCTCTGTGTGAGTTGTCTCGAAGTTCTCGCGCCAGCCAGTTTCGACCATCAAAAATGCCTTTACACATTTAGTGATGTCGTTTACTGTTGCAACGATGTTGTTTGCCAATCCAGTGAGGTTAGATTGGTCACCGACATCGATACAAGCAACAGATGCTTTGAGAACATTTCCAACTAACTCTTTAGCGATATCGTGGAACAGAATGATCTTCTCAACAATCTGTTCATTGGATATCTCTGAGTTCTCAGCGAGAGCGTGAGAAAGCCAGTCGATTTCTTTCTGGTAGCTGTTGTAGTTCATCTCGAGAACCTTGTTGACTTCTTCGATGTTTGCGATCTCCGCGGAAATTGTCGGAATTGTGAATTTGACAGGCAGCTTCTTCGCTGACTCTGGGTCCTTCTTCTTCTCGACAACATCGGACATTGATTTAAGATCGCAGAAAGCAACATACGCTGCTTTGAAAACAGCGATGCAGTTGCTGACAGCTTGTTCTGGCGTTGCTAACTTATTCAACATTTCAAATGTGTTGTTATAAGAATTCTGGACTTCCTTGAAATGCTCTGTGAACTTTTGGCCGACTTCTGGCTTGAGATTTGCCTTGAGGAGTTCTTTAGAAGCAATCTCAAGATTTGTCAATGGATCTGCATATCCATCTTTAACAGCTTCGATGTGCAAGTCGTACAAATGTGAATACCTTGAAATGGCAATGCAATACAACATTTCTCCTGCGGATTTGATCATGTTTGCAGAAGATTTTCCGTACTTGAATCTGGCTTCGTTCAACTGTGTTGTTGATGGCTTTGAATCCTGCAAAACACAGTCTTCAACAATGTAAGAGAAGTCAGAAATCAAACGAACAATTGACCTGAGAGATAACTTGTATTTCTCTGGCTCATTGACGTTCTTAATCACGTTCATTACGTTTGGCCACAACTGGTTTGCTGTTTGAAGATAGAACTCGTAAATGGAGGAATTAATGTACTCGAAGAAAGGAAGGACAATTCCAACCAATGACTGAGAACGAGCGCAGACTTTGACGAGGTCTCTGATGTCTTGTTTCGGATTCTTTCCAAAGACATTCCTGATTGCTCTGAATTCATCGATTGTGTCGATGAAAACTGACTCGACTTCTTTGGCTGATTGTGGCTTCTTTGTTGTTTTGACCCAGTTGGCGTAATCCTTGTTTGCAATCCATTTGATGAAATTGTTGATTCCTTCCTGGTTCTTCGTTGCGACTGACTTGATGAGGTCCTTCATTGTGCCATCGAGTTCTGGGCATTGATGATCTTTCTCGATTGCTTCGAGGCATTTCGCTGCGAGGTCGATCAATTCCTGGTACTTTCCTTCCAATGCGAATGTCAACAAGTTCTGGAGTTCCTCTTGTACATCGACGTAGACAATCTTGACTTCTTCTTCCTTCTTCTGTTCCTCTTCTTCGTGGACTTCTTCCTCTTCGTCTGCCTCGATATCTCCTGCTGCTTTGAAGAACATCGCCAATGCTTTGATCAAATTATCCAATGGATCTCCAATCAACTTAGCATCGCCACCTTTAGTGATTGCGAGTGCTGCATAGTCACAATCATCAACAGCTTTGTCTAATTGCTTGAGAGCGTCAAGATATGGTGTAACATTGACGCCTTGTTCCTGTGCAGTGTGTAAATTGTAGGAAGCAATTTTTGCGAGAGATCTGACTCTTTCGTATTCTTCGAGATCTTTTTCTCCTTTCTCGTATGACAAGAACATCTGGTAGATGGCCTGCAAAAGGTTCTTCAATGTCTGTTCTTGTCTTGCTGCTGTTGGTGATGACAATTGCTGCAACAAGGGTCTGATTGATGGCAAAGATTCGATCAAACTCTTGAGTTCTTGGTAATCTTTGTTATCTGCCTTTTCGTGGATTGTTGCATTTGACTGGTTATCGAATGTCAAGAATGTGTTGATGAGTTTGGAAGTCAATTCAGCATCAAATGATGATGCGTAATGTGGCTTTCTCAACAAATTCGCGATATTCAAAACGAAGTCCTTGAAAACACCAAGTTCTTCGCATTTCTTTGCAATTTGCAACAAAGTGTTTGCCAAAACAGTTTGGATGACGAGATCACATGAATCTATTGATTCATTCAGTGCTTTCGTCATCTGGCTGAACTTCTCCTCTTTAATGCATGACAATGTCGCCAATTGCCTGATAACTCTGATTGGAGCATAAGCAAAAGTGACAGATGCCATATTTTTGAGTGTTGTTATCATATTGAAATCAGCGTTCTTTAAGGAGTCTTGGAGTTGTCTGTGGAAGACAGTTCTCATCTTTGTGTTCTTTATTTCTTCCTTCATTGCTTCAATGATCTTCGCGCCTTCAATAGATGATTGGATGATGATATTCAACAAATTATCCAATGTTGCTTTGTGGTTTTCTTGGACAATGGAAAGATATCTTGAATAAGAATGCTTTGCAGAAATGTTTTGGGAAGAAGAAAGATAGTTTGCGAGATAGCGAAGTGATGCTGGAACATTTGATGTTTGTTCCAATGAAAGCTTGATGATTTCCTTCGCTTGTTTGGAATCTTCTTCTGATACTGGTTCTCCATTGATTGAATCGATTTCTTTCTGTACCAAAACAGCTGCGTTCTTTCCTTCGAATATCTTTGGATTGACAATCAATGATTCGACCATAGATACAGGCTTCTTCTCCAAGGAAATGTAGTCTGAGAACTGGTTGTATGATTCGTACATCATCTCTGCAATTTCCGTTGGATCGAAATCTGGTCTTGCCTTCTCGAATCCGTTCATCAAGAATTCGTAAATCTTGTTTGAAATCGCTTGGATTTCATGTGGCTTGAGTTGTTCGATTCCTGGTGGAATTTCGCCAATCTTCTTCGCGTATTCTTCCAAGAACTCTTTCGAATCGTTGACAGATCCATTCTTGACAACGTTGTTGATCTTGAGAACCAACTTTTGCAACAAAGGATATGTGATTGTTGCGAATTCTGTTGCCTTTGCAGTTGTAAGGAAATGCTTGTCAGAAAGTTTGATGACGTTGTTGACTGTCTTTTGAACAGCTTCACATGTATCAATCAACTGTCTGTCAGACAATATTGGGCCTAACAACTTGATCAAATTGATCATTGCTTCTAATTCTGCTTCAATGTTCCTGCAGAACTGTGGCAAGTTCGATTCAAGTTGTTCGCGAGACATGTTCAAAACAGAAGCATTTGTTGAGTAAAATGATGAAACTTGTCTGATGAGCATTGATATTCTGATTGAATCATCGACAATTGGATGGTATTCTAACTCTGAGAATATCTTCGTCATGTACTCGAACATCTTCTTGAGAGCTGCAGCGAGTTCACCAATATCGTTTGAGTCGACTTCTTGAATTGGATCCCAAATGTAATCGATGGAAGAAGGCATCAACATCTGTCTTGTCAAGTTGATCAAATCATCATAAGCTGTTAAGAGTTTCTTGGTGAATGGATTCTCTTTGACTTGTGTTGTTAACTCCGGTATGTAGTGCTGGTAGTTAACTAACTGTCTTCTGATTTCTTCGACTTCTTTCGGTTTGAACTTCGATGTTTTGAGAGCGGTTGTGAGAGCATTCAAAATTCCCTTGAGAATTGACATGAATTGTTTGATGTTCTTGTCATCAGCTGCTTGTGCAACAGATTGTATTTGTCCTGGGTACTCGTTGATCTGTGCAATCAAAGCGTTGATGACATTTGTCAATATTTGAGGAGATGGTTTCTCACCGGACATGATGACATCAGTTCTCTGTGTGAGTGCATCGAGAACACCTTTCTTCTTTTCATCCCACAATCCTGGAATGTAGTTTGTTCTCGCGTACATGTTTGTGAGCCAGTAATGGATTCTTGGAGTGTAAAGATTGAAATTCGTTGATGGATCCGCTTCGAATTTCATGAGATCTTTGATGATGTCTTTGATTTCAGAGTTTTCTTTCTCAACCAATGGATTGTACTTCAAATCTGTGTTTTGAGAAATGTATTCTCTGAAACATGCCATTAATTTAATCACTTCTTTTCTGTATGCAACGATTTCTTCTTTTGTATAGTTCTTCATGTATGGTCTGATATTGACTTCCTTGCACTTGTCGAAGTATAATCTAGCGCTCTTGAAAACATCAGCCAATATGACAACACTGGCATTCGCACATGTCACAGCGGCAATATTTTCTGTATCGTCAATAATATTTGCCAAATTAACGTACATGTTATTAATGATGTTTTTGATGTTGCAGCTGAGTTGGTATGAGAAAGCGTTCTGCATCAAGTGTGGTCTTATCTGTGTCAACCTGTTGTAGTCTTCTTTGAGCAACGTCAACTTAGAAGACAACTTTGCCAACACGTTTTCTTGGACAGCGACTTGTGGTGTCAAAATGACGTTTGTCAGAAAAGTGATGAGTTTTGCCACATTCATGTGGAATTGGCAGAAAGCGGGAACGTGTTTGCACTTTTCGTAGTCATCTCTGATTTCAGGGTTTGCGAGAGTCTTTGTGATAGAAGGCATCATGACTTCAATGATCAAAGGAATTGTCTTGTGATTTGCATTCTCAAGATACGACTGAAGAGAAATGACATAAGTAGCAATGGAATGTAATGATTGATGGATCTTGAAGAGTATTTTACCATCTGTTGGAGATCCAGCGAGAACTTTATTCCACTCGATGAAATTGTCTCTTGATTCAGTCATACTAGGAATGTATTCATCCAAGCACTGTGTGTCTTTCATCGCTTGAACTAAAGCTGTCAATGATTCAGCGAATGTTCTGACTCTTGTTGATGAAATGTTCATTGGGCTGAGTGAGTAAAGGAATGAATCAACGGAATTCAAGAATGTTCTAACTTGTACAACAATCTCCGGTTGAATGTTCGGTCCCATTTTCACGCAGTAATCCAAAACTTCGAAGAAATATCTCCTAGAAACATTGACAGACTGAATGACAACAAATCTCAATGCGTCATTTGTTGGATTCTGTACCATGTCATTCATAACTGTTCTAGTGACAGTTGATGTGTTCTCGAATTCCGCACATGCCTTTCTGAGGGGTTCCATCAATTTCTGGTCAGGCTGGATGTTCGGAAGATTCATCATCTGTGTGAAATAAGTGACAGCGTCAGACAAAGTGTTCAATGCGCCATGTCTCAAGTAGCATGGACCAGGGAAGAACTTGATACCGACTGTTTCATCCTTGTTGACGAAACAAATCAATCCGAGCCACGTGAAGTTAAGAACTCTTCTGAAATGTGCGTGGAAGTCATTCAACAGTTCAGCAGGCATCTTGTAAGCTGTGTACGCGTGTTGTAAGTATGGATAAATTTCTCTGTAAGTCAAAATCAAATCATTAAGATTTGCTTTGATGTCGCAGTTGTTTTCATCCAATTCTTTCCAGAACTTGTAAGCTTTCATGGCAAACTTACTCAGAACAGGGAACAACTTCAAAATATTAAGATCAGCATTCAAAAGATCTAATCTGACATTGAAAAGATATCCCATCAACCTGTAAATTGCTTCAACAAGCGTCGAGAGATAAATGGATCCTCTCGGCAATGCATGGAGCTCTTCCTTCGTGGCAACAGGAGGTTCTGGTGTCTGTTCAATGATGGATTTGATCTTTTCTATGACAGGAGGAATGGAATCAACAATCTGTGTGTAGCCATCAATGACTTGCTGCCTGATATCTGTGATACCAAGCTTCATTGTATCTGATTGTTTGATCATTACGAACAAAACTTGGATGACTTTCGCGACAACTTCCATTTCCTTTTTAATGTCTCCGGAATGGAAACCGTCTGAGATGGCGTTGATGTAGAACAAGGCACATTCAACCGAATATGAGGCATCTTTGATGGTCATCTTGAAGGAATTGTCGACTTGTGCTCGGATTGAAGTCATAATTGCTTCAAGACGCTGAACTGTGCCATGGAGATCGAAGTATTCGAGGTTATACTTCGGAAGATGTGTGGTAACCATCTTGGCAAACTCTTCTTCGTCACGAATTAAATCTGATACATCTTGGACTTCGTTGAAGCTGGAATAATCATCGCGTTTGAGTAGTTCTGGTTCGGTCTCAACACGAAGACGGTCGCTGGATGTTTCTGGAGCTCTGTTGAGGATTTCGGAAGAAAGAAATGTCGTAATTACGGCTTCTGCTTCTTCCGGAGAGGTAACTTCGATTTTCTTCTTTTGCTTCTTCCTGATAATGCGTTGGCTGTTCTTTGTTTTGAGGAATTTGACGTATAATTTGGCAATATCAACAAGATAAGTATGAATGTTGGCAACTTTGGTGCTTTTGACTGTAAAATGGCATGTATTCTCTTTGTTTGTCTTGGGATCAACGTAGCGGATGTTAATAACCTTGCCGGCGTAACCGTATTCTTTAATTGAAGATGTATGGATGTTAAACAAGCCATCTGTGGTTCCTCTTTCGCAGACACGAACACCACGTGACAAGAGACAAAGAGCAACCTTCTTGCTCTTGTAGTTGTTGTCCGTCAAATTTGCATTGTAGATTTCTTCGCCGAAACCTTTGATTTCACGGACAGTCTTGATGAACTGGATCATGGCTGGTAATTTATCCATGGCTGCTTGCTGTGTGATGTATTTCTTGCACTTATTTGCCATAAATGAAGAATCGCGGAATTGCTTTGGAACAAAGTCTTTGAATCTCTCGGAAATTAAATCAATGTTAAGATCCTTAAGATTTGTCGTTGTTCCGTAAAGAATTAATCTTGCTAACTCGAAAGCTTGATCTTCTGAGACGTTGATGTTAGAATGAGTATAGTTATACTTGCAGTCTCTGAAAACGTGGATACAGTTATCCATATCTTCGAAATCGTAAGAAAAGATTAAGAAATAACGGCGTTTGAAGTAAAACTTTGAAACATATGTTGTTTGTACGCAAATTGGTCTGTTGGATTCAAGTGGGAATTTATAACCTTCATCGTTGTAGTACCAAAGAGAATATTGATCTGGTTGGCAGTAAAGTTGAAGTTCATCAGCAATATATGAGAGGACGTCATCGACAGGGATGGAGAGATCAAGCCTCATCTTTGCTGTTTCTTCTTCATCTCTTGTAATTTTGCATTTTGAATGTTCTTTTGAAGGAATAATTCTTCCACCTGGCTTTGCGTAGAAAATAAGGGGCTGGTTGAGATCACAGATAATTGGCTCACGAACATTTCCTTTGTAAATAAGGAGTTTGTAAGGTCTGTGATCTTCGATTTCAAGTTCATCGCAAATCAGCTTAAGAGCTTCCTTGCACGACATGTTTTCGTCAAAATCCATCATGCGGGAGTTCTGTGCATCGAAAACTCTGCTATATTCCAAGTTAATAGTCATTCAAATAATTAATAGTTAAAAGTGTGAAGTGAAAAAGCTCCAAAAATGATATTATTATATTCATTGAGAACAGTATATATTATTGACCAAATTAGATCATTTATTTTTTGAATCTATCGTCAAGCATTTTTTGATCAAGCACGTTGAATAGCATTTCTTAAATTGATTTTTTAAATGATATAAAAGAAATGCTATTCAACATGATGTCTATCAATTTTATTTTGTTAGAAATTTCGTTTAGGATTTGATATGCTTAATGTCATTACATTTTTTGCTGATAAACTTTAATCTTGAAAAGTTCGGAAATTGAACTGCTAATTCAATAAATTCTGGGAAACCGCGGAATAGTTTTTAAATCTATAAAATATAATTATTTACTGTAATAAAAATAAAAAAAAATACAATATTAAAGTATAATAAATAAAAATACAATTTTAAACTGTGTTAACGAGAGGCTTAGTTCTAACAGGAGGATGGAATTCGGTTGTTTGTGTTGGAACCAACAAATTTAATCTTCTTACAAAAACAGCGCAAATCATCATTGGTCTAAGCGAAGTAACTTTCTCTCTAATTGTCCTTCTATTTAAGTCTCCTCTGAACTTCAATGATACACTCTTACAGAACCTTAAAATTTCCATCTTCCTCATTATTTGATTATTTCCGGCCAAAGATAAAATTGATTCTTTTATTCCACGCTTAGCATCTATTACTGTAACAGATGTTGGATCTATGCCATTAACAGATGCAAATAGTGATCTTGTCCACTTTTCCCATTCTTTGTTCGCTTGAATAGAGTCAACAAATCTTTGTTTTTCTCTTTCAGCTTGATTAGCTCTATCATCTGCTAATCTTGCATCATTAATGCATTCGTCACGATCATGCAATGCTTTATCGCGCTCTTGGCATATATCTGTGAATGCTGTGAAAAGTGTTTCATCAGATTTGATGTTAAGTTGATTTCTAAGTGAAATTGCATCATTCAAAATTGCTGCTTCTTCACTGGAATTACGTGATTGTATTTCATTGATTATATAGTTAATCAATTCATCAACACTGTCTACTTGTGGCTTCTCTTTGCCGAGTAATGAAATGATCTTTTCTATTTGTTTTGTAAATTTCTCATATCTTTGATCGTTTTCATTATTTATTTGAGAAATTTTTGCATTGTTCTGCTGGATAATCAATGACTTTCTATCTTCAAACTCTGACTTGATATTAGCAATTGCATCATTAGCAGCTTGTAGTTTGAGCTTGAGTGTTCTTTCGCTTGCTGTTGCCTTTGCAAGTTTCATTTCCAAATCTTTCTTATAAGGAGCATATTCTTCATTTGTCTTCTTTAGATTTTCATTTTCCTTCCTTGTTTCATTGAGTTTGTTTGTCAATTCTTCCAATGTTGATACGTATTTTGTATTGAGTTCTTTGTTTTTCTCTCTTATTTCATCTATGTTTGTTTGTGTTTTTCCTTGTAATTCGTTCATCCTCTGCTTGTAAAACATCTTCCTCTTTGTTTCTTTTTCGCATTTATCACTGACAACTTGAAGAGCTTTCTCTAATTGGTCGATTGTTGACTTTAATTCAGCAACTTCTTCATTGTGATTGTTTTGTTCTTCTTGGAGTTTCTCTCTTGTATCATTTAATTCGTTTTCAAGTAAATCTCTTTCATTCTCGAGATCTCTTCTTGATTCATTTATAACAATACTTTGTTGTTCTTGTGTTTCCTTTAAGTTGGTCAGTTCACTTTTAGCTTCAACTAATTCTTTATCTTTTGCTTTCAGAGCAGCTTTCAACTTCTTCATGTCTTTAGTTGTTTCTTGTTTGATGTCAGAGATTTGCTGCTGTATGTTATTGACTATATCAGTAGCTCTATCTGTGAATATCTTCCTTTGCTCTTCGAAATGATTCTCTTTTTCTTGGATTTCGCTTTGAAGCTTTTTGATTTGAGCATCTTTTTCACTAAGTTGTTTTTGATGCTCTGTTTGTGTTGTTTCAACATCACTCTTGATATGATTGATGAACTCAGCAAATAACTCTTCAATGTTCTCAGAGTTAGAGCTTGTGAATTTCCTCAAATTCTGGGCTATTTGGATATTTTGTCTTTCGATTTCTTTTGACTTTTGGATCTGTTGGTTCTGTTTTTCTGCGAAATATGATTTGTCTTGTTTCGGCTGCTTGAAGTTCCTCAACTGCTCGTTCTGGTTCATCAATAGTTTGTTCATTTGAAGTATTCCGCATAACAATATGCGAAGTTCAATGAATGGAGATGCATTTACGTTCTTCTGGCCAACGAAATCGTAAAAGATCTTTGCAACATCTTCCGGTTGTAATTCATCTCTTTGTGAGAACAAATCTGGGCAGCTCTCGCGGAGGAATGATTGATCTTCTTGATCAAGGAAGCACTGGATCCTGGCGCATTGTGTAAACACGGCTTTTTTGTCGTTGTCGTTCAAACATGAAGTTCCTGTGATTTGTTTGAGCCAATTCATGAGGGATATGAGATGGGAAATGAGTTGGAAGTGACGGCTAATAAGATCTTTGTTTTTATCGGTTTCATTTTGCTGACAAGATATAACTTTCATCTGATCTCCTTGATATGAAAGGACTGCTGCAAAAATCTTGTCGAGAATTGCTTCTTTTGTATCGGATTCGAAATCAATATTGATTTTGATTGTAGATGGAAGAGATTTGAGTATTTTATCGATTGATTGTTTCCATTTGAGAGATTCTGTTTCTTTATACTGTTGGTATTCTGTATCTTTTTCTTGTAATGATTTCTGTAGAGATGAATTTTGCTTCTGTAAGGAAATCAAATTTTTATCCATAGTTTCAAGGACACTTTGCATATTATAGAATTGAGAAATAATGTGTGACCTCTGTGAAACAAGTTCTGTTATCTCACAATTCTGATTTTTGAGTAATTCCTCCATAGAATTTATGGTTTCTCTAATATCTGGAGCATTTGATCCAGAAAGAGATGTACTTGATTGGGAATGATCGCGTGTCCTAATGCTCTTCAGCTGTTCAATAACTTCTTGATCTCGTGATGATTGTAATTTTAATTCTGAAATTAAAGTATCTAATTGAAGATTTTCAGTATTTTTCTGGTTTAATGAGTCTTCTAGAGACGTTACCTTTGCTTTAAGTGCCTTGAGCTTCTTTAATGATAAAGATAGTTGTTTCTGAAATTTGGCGCCATTAAAATTATTTTCATCCAAGGAGGCCTGTAGTTGTTCGATCGTATCTTCCTGCTGTTTTAACTTAGCTTGTAGATCTTGTTTTTCGTTTTGTTCATCCTTTAGTTGCTTTTCGAGGGAATCAATCTGAGATTGAAGAAGTTGGATCTTAGTTTCTTGGATTTTGTCTGGCTTTTGAGGTTCTGCTGATTTATTATTATTTCTAGTTTGAGTTTTGGCTTCATTGTTGAGTTGTTCGATTATTTTTCTTTGGTTGTTAATTATTTCTTGATATTTTGCAATTATTTTCTCATAATCTGAACGCTGCCGCTCTAACTGTTCATCATAAGCAGCTCTGATATTCTCAAAGCTACTCATATTTCTTTCAATGAAAAAAGTCTTCGCGGGTAAAAAAAATTGAATGGGAAATTAACGTCATGTCCTATCATGTATATTTACAGCATATTTAACTCAAGATTTGAAATATCCATAATGAATCGATTTAGAATTTAAAGTATTGTTGCACCAAACCAAAAAATAAGGAAATCCGGAAAAATATGTGTTAAAAATATAGCCAGTAGTAATATTGGATTGTAATGTGTATTTCATAAGACGACAAAATCTTTCGTCCTGATTTACATCTATGAATTTTCTGGAAATATAACAAAATTCTTTATTAACAAATAATGAATTCCATGCATCTTTCTTTACATCCAAAATGAGAATCAGTAAACTCGATCATTAACATTCAAAACTGATTAATGCTCAAATATTTCAATTTAAAAATAAGTATTATAGTGTAAATTATCGTAGAACATGACAATTATTTATAAATTTTCTTGATTATCAGGTTTCTTTTGATCTGAATCTGATTGATCGTCAACTTCAATCATTATATCTTTATCAACAATATCACCGTCATTCAAATGTACTTCAATATCATCTTGCAATTCTCCTGTATTTGTGGCGCTCTTGTAGCAGAATTTCCAGCCAATAAATAATAATAAAATCAAAGCGATCAATATAAATCCGATATAAGTGATAGATCCCATTTCTAAATTCTTAATTAAATCGGCTGAAATGACTTCTTCTGTTGGGTCTGGAACTTTTGCCTCTTTGGTTTCATCTGACTCTTCTGGGAAAGGAGACATTGTTGGTCTTGGTGTTCTATTTCCAGCAGCGGATGGTGTTGGAGAACTTGATGGTTTAATTTCAGTTGAATTAGTACTGAAAGTTGAGATGAAAAACAAAAATAACATTTGAAATTTCTGACATGAAAAATTTAACAAATTATCCCAAATTTGAATTTAATACTTAGAACAATATCTCTGATTGATTATTGTAAATTTGCAAAGAAAAAATATAGAATATAAGCTCAATCTACAAATTCACCCCAAATTGATGATATTTATTGATTGGGTTAACTCATTTTCTTTATATCATTCAATATTTTAACATACGGAATATATGATAATCAAGAGAACTGATTCAATTTAAATTCAGGTTCAAAGTCATGTATAAATAAACTTTTTTATGGACGAATCGATAGTGTTGTAAACAGAAATTCATCAAAAGTGACACTTCAGAAAAGCTAAAATATTGAATTTTTGGAACTTTTGATAGAGCACGTTTTTAAATATTAATTAAATTAAATGTATATTTTGTAAAGATTCTTTTTAATAAAAAATAAAATTTTGAAGAAGAACACAAAATCTTCTGAAAAATAATATCACATAAACTCATATTATTTTCTAATATATAACTATTTTATATAAAAATCAAATTCAATGATCTTAAAAGCGAAGGATAAACCTCAAAAATTACGAATATAATGAGTGGGAATATAATGCTTATCTATCATAAAACCATATGAAATATCAATTTTTGCTTTACGCCTAATTTTTGACGACAATTAGCAAAAAATGTTAAATGTTAACACTCAGTCCATTTGAATATGAAAAATAAAATTGACTTTGATTAAATGTTTTTATTTATCATGCAATTCTTCTTGCGACCAAAGATTTGAATAAAAGTTCAAAAAATAAGATAGCTTAAAAAATAATATACGGTAGTGTTTACTAATAGATGAATAGTATATAAATTCTATTAAAATGGATTTGATCCAAAAAAATATAAAACCAAAAATAATTGTTATAATTATAGATCCAAGGTGATGTGATTTTTGCATCCCTGGGATGGACGATACACCCAAAGTGTCACCTTTTTTGGGATAACATGAATTTTAAATATCATGAGAGTTCTGCAAACCATATGCACAATATCTATTCAGCCTGACTTCTTGTATATATGAGTTAGACTTCTTAAATATTGTGCTTGGGGCGATATAAGTATTTCCGAGATTACCATCGTGCTCTATAGTATGCTACTTCTCCCTGGTTCTAGCTCAGTTCCAAGGATATTGGCGTTCAAGGATTTGGCAAGGTCCTTCCGAAGTCTCTCATTCGATGAGAGATTTCGGAAGAATCTTGCCTTAAAGTACTCCAACTCTTGTTCTTTTGTTCCTAAATAGTGAGAAAAGTTATTTGACTACTTAAGGTAGAGATTATCCGAGGTCCCTCATTTGATGAGGGGCCTCGGATAATCTCTGCTTTAAAATTGTACACTTGTAGTCCATGAGAGTGTAAGTATACATTGATAGGACAGCTTTCTTCTGAAGTCTTAGATTTGATGAGAACCTCAGAAGAAAACTGTCATATTTTATAGTAAAAGGAGTTTCAGGAGCTCCAAAGCTCCCTTTCGTAAGGATTAGGAGCTTTGGAGCTCCTGGTTCGGAGATGTGTTTCGCATCTTTCATCAGCAAAGGACATTTACCATCTGGGACTTTGTTGATGGAGACTCAGGAGCTCCAAAGCTCCCTTTAGTAAGGATTAGAAGCTTTGAAGCTCCTGGTTCGTAGACGTGTTTCGCATCTTTCATCAGAAGAGGCCCAAATGGTAAATAGCCTCTGCTGATGAGCTTCAGGAGCTCCAAGACTCCCTCTCGTAACGATTAGGAGCTTTGTAGCTCCTGAAGGTAAGGTAGGATTGCTCTGATCTCTAATCAGTAGATGCCATGCCTCATTATGAACTCTACTGACAAGAGATCAAGAGCTCCAAGGACTCCTTTTTTAGTTAGTGGCGTTCTCACCATTTAGTAGGATTGCTGATCCTACTAATGAAGTGATCACTTAGTATACGTTTTGAATAAATTGAATTTTTTTTAGAATTTAGTATTTTTTATAGACATCACATGTATATTATAAATACATAAATATATTCTTTAATTCAAAAAATTCAATTCGGTTTTGGGATGGGCATCCCAGCCCCAAGTATTCAATTTTATTCAATTTTTAAAGAATTTTGGGTTGGGATGCCCAGACCAAAACAAGCTTTATATTTTGATGTGTAGATACGTATGTGTGCATCATTGTTGTGTTATATATTATGTTTTTAATGAAAAAAAATCTGATTCAAAAAAAATTATCACTAATTAGTTGATAATATAAAGAAAAAATAGATAAATTGTATGTTTGAGAGTATTTATCCACATTCACTCATATGAATTTCATTAAATAGTGTCTTTTTACTCCCAAATTTATTTTGAATTATTGAAATCAAAGAAAAAAAATCAGAAAAATTTCTCGAAATTTTTATTTTCAAAAAAAATTTGGATTTTATATTGAAAACTGACACTGGGAGGACGATAGGGCTGGGATTGGAGATACCCCGCTCACTTGGGAAAAATACGGATCTATATTATAATTTAAATGAAGAAGTAATTTAAAACGATTTTATTTATGATCAAATTTTATATATTTTTTTGGATCAAATCCATTTTAATAGAATTTATATACTATTCATCTATTAGTAAACACTACCGTATATTATTTTTTAAGCTATCTTATTTTTTGAACTTTTATTCAAATCTTTGGTCGCAAGAAGAATTGCATGATAAATAAAAACATTTAATCAAAGTCAATTTTATTTTTCATATTCAAATGGACTGAGTGTTAACATTTAACATTTTTTGCTAATTGTCGTCAAAAATTAGGCGTAAAGCAAAAATTGATATTTCATATGGTTTTATGATAGATAAGCATTATATTCCCACTCATTATATTCGTAAATTTTGAGGTTTATCCTTCGCTTTTAAGATCATTGAATTTGATTTTTATATAAAATAGTTATATATTAGAAAATAATATGAGTTTATGTGATATTATTTTTCAGAAGATTTCATTCTATATGCCTATGAAAAGTACTCTCAAAACTAACTTTTTCCTAATTATAATTAAATCTAGAATATTGTATTATGCTTAGTATTATTTCATTTTTCTCGTTCAATTTAGAATTTACAAATGTCAAAAAATTGAGAGCTGTCACTTTTGATGAATTTCTGTTTATTACAATAGCATACCAAATTCAAAAAAAAAGAAATTTCGCTCTCCATATGTTTTCATAAATTTTCTTTGATTTTAAACTTTGAACGAATATTCTATGTGAAAGCAAGATTTCATATGAAATAGATGAAACTATATAGGAAATTACTCCCTGAAAAGGAAAAGTCGTAGAATTCTCATTGAATAATCACACTTTTTCTAAGAACAAATTTAAAAAAAAAAGATAGTTTTTCTTAAATATACTCTTTTGTGGTCAATGATATATTTAAATAGTAGAATTTGAATTTTGCCAAAAAGAGAAAGTCGTATTTTTTTGAATAGCATTCAATTTTATAAATCTTCGGTTTTCAAAATTAAATGATATTTTCCGAGCAAATTGATATTAAAAATATTATTAATTTTGTTAAACACGTGCATCAACCTCACATACAAGGTCGAAAATGGATGAAAAACCAAATTATATAAATATTTTGATTTCCAGAGTTTATTGCATTAGGAAGGATTTTCAACCACACCATCGAGTTAATAGAAATATGATATTTTTATATCATATTTATTATGCATTTTTGTTGGAAAAAACATTTTTTGAACAAGAATTTTATTAAAAATAATTACAAATAAAACGGAGGAATAAAATGAATAATATCGTGTTTATCATACATTGAAAAAGGAAAATTTTTGTTCACCACAATCCGTCATCTGGAAAATCAAAAACACCTTCTAGACTCATGGCATCATCGAGTTCGTTAGGTTTCTCGTTTTGGTGGAGTATTCTAACAACTTCACTTTGAGTTAATAAAGAAAAATCAGGAAATTTACGTCTAAACAACTTAATTCTATTTCTTACCATCCACCAATCCTTGTCCTGCAATTTCTTCGCAATTGATGCTGCTGAAATATCTCCATTTTTAACATGAGACATTATAATGAGGTCTTGTTCAATTGAAAAGTTGTTTTTGATACCATTTTTGATGTGCTTAAGGAATTCTCTGACTTGTCTTGTGGTATGGTTAATTATCTCAGATATTGATTCGACATCCAAACCCTCTGAATCAAGTTGAATAATGGTTTCTTTTTCACTGTCCTTCAAGAACTTCTTTGTGTGAGGTTGAACTTTGGAACGGCCCACATGCTTCTTCCTATTCTTGGGCATAAATAAAACTGAACTCAATTTTCAATTCGTTGTAAACCGTTGAATCTTTTCAATATAGAACCGTTTAATATGTGTTTGAAAAATTAATTGAATAAAGTTGAAGTATTGAACTGAACTCATCATTATCTAACTTTTCTATTTTTTAACACCAATTCAATTATTTTTTACAAATCAAATTTTTTAATGTATTTAGATCCATATTATAAATAGATTATCTGAGTGTACCATTTTTTGTCAGGAATATTTTACATTTTCAAAAACTTTATCATTCAAAATTTTCAAAAATCATTTTATCATTCAGGATTGTGTTATCATGTAACACTATACATTTATTGATGTCAAAAAAAAGGCAATAATTTTTGAATGATGTACGTTATATTAACAACTTTTTAATGACAATATTGTTCATGATATTGTTGCATGCTAAGTTCGGTCAAAACGTAAACCTCTCAATTTTATCGTCGGGGAAAGTAACTCAATTCCTTCAAAATTATTCTTTAAATATTGAATTTAAAGTTATTTAATTTGGATTATAAATAAATAGGCTAATACAATATTTAAAAATGAGAAAAAATAACTTTTCAAAGAACTTTTCATAATCTCAAAGAAAATTTTTTATTCAATAATTATATAAATTAATTAACATTCATAATGGAATTGGATTTTTTTTATTAAGGGTTTCGTTTTGCTAAAATTGTCACTTTTATAGCATATTTGTTTTTGAATGTTTTGCGAAACCAAAAAAAAACTATGATATACAATGTGTGTGTAAAGAAAATACTTTATTTACTAGTTAAAAAATCATTTGGTATTGATCAAGTTATTTTTTCTGGATAAGATATTATATGAGAAAGGGACAGACTAGCCCATTGTCACTTTTTAATTTAGCAAATGAACGCTTATGGAGTGGAGTTTTTGGGTAAATCTGATTTGCTTATAAATGAAATAAAATCAAAAGAAACCATATTGGCATTATATTATGCAAAAATAAATGATCTTACTTAGTACTTTTAAAGTTAATTTCAGAAAAAATTTGACACAATGGTATCCGGCACATACAAGTGGTGTACAACCAAAATATAAGTTAGTTTAAACATATATTGCTATATCTCATGATCTTACTTAGTACTTTTAAAGTTAATTTCAGAAAAAATTTGACACAATGGTATCCGGCACATACAAGTGGTGTACAACCAAAATATAAGTTAGTTTAAACATATATTGCTATATCTCATGATCTTACTTAGTACTTTTAAAGTTAATTTCAAAAAAATTTGACACAATGGTATCCGGCACATACAAGTGGTGTACAACCAAAATATAAGTTAGTTTAAACATATATTGCTATTCTCATGATCTTACTTAGTACTTTTAAAGTTAATTTCAGAAAAAATTTGACACAATGGTATCCGGCACATACAAGTGGTGTACAACCAAAATATAAGTTAGTTTAAACATATATTGCTATATCTCATGATCTTACTTAGTACTTTTAAAGTTAATTTCAGAAAAAATTTGACACAATGGTATCCGGCACATACAAGTGGTGTACAACCAAAATATAAGTTAGTTTAAACATATATTGCTATATCTCATGATCTTACTTAGTACTTTTAAAGTTAATTTCAGAAAAAATTTGACACAATGGTATCCGGCACATACAAGTGGTGTACAACCAAATCTTCGACTAGATGAACTTGTAATCGAGTTATATTCCAGTGTTGTTCCTTCATTCCCGATTAAGTTGCAAATTAAAGGTCTGGATTCAGAGAGAAGTGTTAAAGTTATCAAAAAAGTCACAAGAGATTTCGAAGAAATGACACAATTTAAAAAAGTCGAATGCATCAGTATGCTTGAAGCTGTTCAGAAAGGTCTGAAAAATGATACACTTGATCCCAACATTGTTTACTCAACATTAAAAATATTATTGCAAAGAAAACATTTGATTTAATAAACATTTAATTTATTATAATTAATTTTTTATTACAGTATAGTAAAAAATGCTATAAATAAATTATTATATTTTATTAAAATGTGACTTTTAATAGTAAGTGAATAAAATAAATCAGGAATTGGGAAAGAAATAAGGTTAATTAAAAATAATGAAAATTACAAGTTTAGGGTTAATGAAAAGTGACAATGGGCGAGTTTGTCCCCCACTCATATTATATGGATAATTGGATAGAAAATACAATTATATAATCTTGTACCTGGTTTAATTAAGCTAATTGTCATCAGAAACTTGTAATTTTTATGAATTTCAGATTTTCTTTTCATTACTGCTTTTCTTAATAGGTCAAGTTCTTATTTACGTTATAAAGTATGATATTTACAAATATCAAGTTATCATGTTTTTTGAGAAATTATGAGAAACAAAAGGCAAAATCGCAACCGAATTTTTAAATCTAGATTTTGATGATAAATTGTGATTTTTAGCTTAAATCGCGATTTTTAAAAAATCGCGAACAGAATTTTTTCGCGATTTATTAATAAATCGCGATTTGAACGATAAATTTCGATTTTTTTAAAAAATCGCGATTCGGGAAAAAATTGCGACTTTTTGAAAAATCGCGAACTTTCAAAAAAATCACGTCCTTAATTTTGGTCTTTTTCGGAGTGATAAGTCGTCCTTTAAGTAATATTTTTTTCTCGAATTGCTAATTGAAAAATTAAATTCGAGAAAAGAGATTACAATAGTATTGTATGGACTATAATCCTACTACTATAACACTTTTTTTGTGAAAATCACACTTTTTTAAAAAAAGATATCAAATTGAAAAAAATTATTCTTATATTTACTTATACTGTAGGGCACATTCATTGGTTATGAAAATCACATAGTATGAATACTCAATCCCAAATATCTTAAAAAAATATTCTAAAATATTAGACTCGATTTTAGCAATTGTATTCTAATCATAATATAATGCCCGAGTATATTATATAAATAGAACAAATATTAGTAAATTCAATTTTTTTTTTTCAGATCGCAAATTATCTAATACAAATATTCATAAAAATCACATACAGTATATTTGCATTCAATGTCAAATATAATAGCTATCTAATACTTTCGAAAAATTGAGCTTTTGAATATTTTATAAAATTTCTGGTCCAAAAATTGTGCTTTCACAATATTTTGATGATATCTATAATAATTAGACTACAAATATAAATTGTATAATAAAAAATCAAAATTTGCTTTTGATATCTCAAATCTCGATATGAGATATTCAATGTCAAATCAAAGTATTCATAATTAACAGATTTGTATCGTGAATGCTTTCGTTTTGCTTAATACACAATTATGCATGACAAGTGTGTGTGGCTACACAATTCTTTCCGTCCGAAGCGGAGAATTGTGAAGTTTACACCGCATTTCACGGATAATATAATGGAAAAACGATTTTCATGGAATACTATTTTTATTAATAGCTTAATAAATGAGCGAGTCTGATAGATATATGTTACGCAAGATATATCCATAGAGAAGTGTTTAAGTATAAAACAATGCGTTATACGTTATATGTAGGATATAGATGGTTTTTCTCCATTGAGAATTTTGTCATGTGAAAAATCTCTTTTTTAGCTATGATAAAAATACTTTTTATATACTATTATATCTCAGTTGATATTGATTCAACATTCTTATTTCACATGATAATATAATAGTATATGTAGCGAGGTATTATATTCTCTTGTGATTTCGATCTATTAATGCTCACACAAAAAATTCGCTACATCAAAATTTCCTCGGAAAATTTCACTTTTGCTGCTTTGATTCAACTTTGATGTCCAATGAATACTCAATAAAACTCGAAACTCTGATCATGGAGATCTATCATCACATATATAATTATATTGCTTAAATATGTGTATAAATTGTATTTTGGATTTTTCGGATTAAAAAAGGTTAAAAGTGTCATATTGATATAATTCACATTTTTGATTTCGTTACTTAGAAATGAGAATTGGTCAATAATTTATTATCCATTTGTAATTATAAAGTGTTTTAATGTATTGTGAGTTCATTTAATTAGGTTTAACTATAATATAAAAATAAATAATCACAATAATAAGTATTTAATTAAAAATGAGTATATTCAGAGATAATGCAGGTTCTTTTAGTTATTATTTAGGAGGTTTTATTTAGTTAACAACAAATTAAAATAAATATATTAAGGAATGCGTATCAACAATTTTAACATTAATGGAGGTAGATCAACAATATTAATAATGGGAGTGGGTCAATAATTCAAATACTGGAAATGGCTTAACAATGTTTATTATGGATATGGTTCAACAATGTTTATTATGGAGCTGGATCAACAATGCAATTAATGGAGGTAAATTAACAACGTCAATAATAGTAGTGGATAAGCAACTCAAATACTGGAAATGAATCAACAATGTTAGTGATGGAAGTGGATCAACAATGTAATTATTGGAAGTGTATCAATGTTAGTAATGATTGTCAAAATTCGTTTGAAATGTATTAACAAATAAGATGTCAAACCGCAAACCGTTGTCACATTTCAAACAAATTTTGACAATCATTACTAATATTGCTTTTATTACAATTATTTCAATAATATCCAATAATATCTTTCAGGTGAACAAAAATAAAATATCCAATCAACTCATATCATGTCAAACCGCAAACCGCCGTCACTTTTCAATCATTTTTGACATTAGCAAATATTAAAAAAATATTTTTATTATTTAATATTTTTTTATGTTGAATAAAAATTATATTAATATAAAAGATATTTTTTTACTCAATATAAGTTGGCGCTATCACTCTCTGAAGCTGAATCTGTGTAATTATATGCATCTGTTGTTTCATCCATGCTGTCTAAGTCAAGGAAATCCCATTTTTCTGCGCCTTTACGAAGTGGCCTCCTGTACAAGAGTTTGTTTGTCAAGCCAGCGCACATGCCAAATGTTTTGTGATAAAAAGTGAGATCATTATCAACATGTAAGGGCCACTTTCCTCCAAT